AAAGTAGGTCACTCCATTCATTTTTTCCGCCATTTCCAAATATCAAAACCGATCAATAAAATTTTGCCATACAGAGTGTTGTTTTTGAGATAAAAGAAGTTTTCTGTTTTTCCTCAAGACGGACCTGGATTTTGATCCGGATTTTCATTTGGTTTTGATGGGTAATATAAGTGAAATATTTCCACAAAGTATGGATGGATTATACAAAGTGGTTCAGAAGTTATAACCAGATGAAGATTTTGCCAATATCAAGATAACGTCCTGTATCTCAGTTATCAAAGACGGTAGACATATCGATGGGGGGTGATTTGGAACCACCGAAGTGTCCTCTATCTACAGGTATCGTATGTACATTTAAGTCTGAAACACCCTGTACATATAAAAGGAAAATAATTATTCCTTGTTTTGACAAAAATGTTAATGTTAATTGAAGAGTCGAAATTATTGCATCCTACAATTTGCGAGCCTTCATTACAATTTCGATAAAAACAATTTTGCTGTACACATAAAACTGAAACGCACTGTACAAGTGGACACACGATGTATCGAATTAAATGTGCTCCGAGCTATGAAGTGATTGAATATTTGTTAATACTTTCGCTGACCATGGGCTTGTCTTGTTATGCAGTCAATCAACCGGAATTTGTTTTCAGGTGTCAAAATCCATTAATATCAATTTTTAATTCCATTTTGTTTTGACAGACGCATACACGCAACGCACAGATATATAGTTATTTATTATACAAGGGAAAAAAGTAGTAGATTTTAGCTCCAGGTTGTGTTGTCTCCCGACGCGTAGCGGAGGGAGACAAAAAACCGTGAGCTAAAATCTAATATTTTTCCCGTGTATAATACACTATTTTTTTCTGTGACAGAAGGAAGGACGAATCAATATTGGGAAGATATTACATTATTTCGAAATCTGAAAATTATCGACGTGAAATTTCAAGTTTTTAGTAGTAGGGACACCTGCGTTTTATAGGCATCTTTATCATTCTTTTGAAGTAATCAAATATCTAATGTCACTTCTGTCAGTTCAATTCTGTGATTTGATTTTGAAAAATTGCGAATTCAGTAGTTGTTTAGTAATATACGAAACCGCGAAGTCGAATGGAAGATAAAAGGACTTGCAGTTCTTTCTCGGAGACGGTATTATTGACTCATTTTTCGGAACTATAGCACAACAAAAGCCATTAACAGAGTATATATTATATGTGATATATATCCGGGAAAAAAGTTCTCACTTTTTTCCCACGGGAAAAAAGTAATTTATGAAAAGTGACATTTTATAACCTTCCAACAGAGATGAAATGCCAAACTTTTTTCCCGTCACAGAAAAAAATATATTATTCACTAGGCAAGTTGAGTCGGAGCATAGTATTAATTCCTATACGATTATATCTATATCTATCTAGTGATAATATACGTACCTATATACAAGGAGCTCAAGTGATTCATTATAAATGTTCATGCATGTCGTGTTGTGATTCAGATATGCAGGGTGTAATTTAATTGATTGCTTAAAATATAGGATATGGTTTCTCAGCTCATTTTAAGAAGAAAATTTCATATGAACATATTCCAGTGGCGGCTACTCAGAAGAGGCAACGGAGGCTGAGCCTCCTCAGAGATTTTCCTTGAACTGATATTATCTATACTTTCTCATTAAAAGAACACCAAAATACATAGATTTTGATTTCATTTCCTGTTTTTAGGTAAATATTTTTGAATTGGCAACAGTGCTTGCCCACGCATCACACGTTGTAGTCTGCAAATCACGCGTAAAATATTCAACTTGGCAACATCTATAGGAGGCTAGACTCCTTCACAACTCGCAACCCACTCGCGCAATGCAAATGCCCGAATAGCACGTGTTTGTCGTGTCGCATCGCGAATTGCGGGCATTGTTTATGTTTATGTTGGGTTAATGGACCCTAACCATATGAATTTCTGAAAAATGAGTGTTTCAAACGATTGCGATGTAGTGGAATACTTTTTGGTGAACCCATTCAGTGCTTTGTCTTATGAAGATAAATTGATTGTGACAAATAAACGTCCGTCACCGGAATTAAAAAATCAGATTTTAACAGATAACAAACAAAATCGTTCGTTCAATTCTGATAATTATAAAAAATATATCTGGTTGACGGGATCTGAGGTAAGGAATAAGCTATTTTGTTGGTACTGCGTATTATTTTCAACCGATAAGTCATCATGCATGTTGGGGGCGATTAGGATATAATGATTTGAAAAATTTGGCTCGCGGATTGGATAGACACTGCGAATCACAGGAACACATCTCTTCAAGTATTAAGTTCAGGTTAACTGGTAAACAGAATGTCATTGAAGCTATTGATTTGGGTGAGTAGAGAGTTGTTTTTCACAATAAATCTCATATCATTCAGCCTCCTCTGTCATGAAAGTCACGAGGGTGTTGAAATTTTAAGAAATGATTCGTTTTCTTATCATAACTTCAATACTGTTCCAGATATATTCATGAAATTTGACATGCACCTACTGAACACCAATAGGCATTTCTTGATGGAGGACTGGTCCATCGGATATTATCTCTGCCACTACCTTAGACCAGTTTGAGTCGCGGCACGTTTGATATTCGCAAAGAGGATATGAAACCATATATGAATACCTGTCTCACTTGAAAGAATCATATAAATGTCTTCTAAATGTATTCATCTTTCAAAAAGTTTCGTTTTCCGTAAATTTAATTTCATTTTTTGACAACTGTCAACCAGTCATTCACGTCATTCCTTGTAGTAAAACGGAATGAAAAGTTGCAAAATGAAACAACACATTAATGTGATTCCGGTTGAGAAATCGGATGAATAAAACCCAACAATTTATTGTCAACCTAACTTCCTACCGTCACCTTCATCTTCAAATCCTTGTTTCATCTAATCAAGATGCGAATATTCAAAGATATTTCTCTTATTATCTGATTCTTCAGTTGTGTGTTGTGTTCTCCAGAAATTTCACTGGAGTCTAGGGCGAGCACCTTCTGAGGAGGCGAAATTTTTTCATATTTTGATTGAAACGACAATCAGAAATATTCTTGCACCTGTCTAACAGACATGTTACCATATGTCGTGAATTTCAATAATTATTTAAAAAAATGTACAGAGCTCTGGAGAAAAAACGGTTTGCGACAGTGAACTAGTTAGCGTTAGTACTTCGAAATAATGAAATAAAATGTTTCACTGGAACATGCCCATTGCTCAATCATTATTAGTAATAATGCCTGATTAATTCGTAGTGGATATTGATAATTAGACAATAGGCAATAATTAGTACCGGTACATCTGATAAATTATTTATACAAGTGTTTAGTTTTCACTTTCCGATGAGGTCGTTAAAAAAGAATGTTGAGCAGCTGTAATCAAAATGAAGTTCAAGGTAGTCTGTATTGCCAACTTGCGTAATACCTCTCACCATAATGCGCCATACTGATGCGGGTTTACTTGTATACAGGGTCATTCAAAATTCGATGTAAATATTCTAAGGACACATTGTTGGGATCAAAATAAGACTTTCTATTTATATAAACATGTGTCCTTAAAGTCATCCCCTTCAAGCTACCGAAAACTGTATGGTAGGTAAGGAAAAAAGATATTCCGAAATGATGACTAAAATATCGGATCAAATCTTCTGAAAATTTTGACACTTCATTCCATTTTTTCTTCAAAAATTATGTAAACCCAGTTTTAGGAGGGAGTTGGCCGAAATTTGGTGCATTTTAGGACACATGTTTATAAAAAGAAAAAGTCTTATTTTGATCCCAACAATACGTTCCTATAATATTTACTAGTGATATATTTCAGTTAGTACAGATTATAATGATGTGACATGTCTTCCCTAACAACACAGGGATGTCCTAGGTACGTCCCTTTTTTGTCCCGCGGTACAAGGACATGATTGGGACATCCAGGGGATGTCCTGCAGTGGTTGTCTAGTGGACATCCCGCCCGGTACATCCCTAGGTTATCCTATTCGTGTCCCTGGAGTATCTGATATCCATTCACATCAGAGTCATTGAATTTCATTAAACTATTGAGTTGAATTTTTTTGAAAATGTTTGTTTCTCTTCCGGAAAATGATTGTAATGAAAATAAAGAATAAAGTCTCAGAACTTCTTAAGAAATTACCATTTTTCGCAGACAGAAATCGAACATGCATCAATGCCCCTCATTTTAAACTCCCAAGAATGATAATAATTATACCCATTTCCTAATAAAGTTGTATTTATTCAGGTTTCTGTAGTTAAGTCCTGTTTATAAATCTGTTTAGTACATAAATCTTCAGGAGGCATGATAGCCAATGGAGCAAGGTGCGTGCATGATAAGCCAATAAAGGTCCCGGGTTCAATCCCTACTCGACCTGCAACTTTTTTCTTTTGTCGAAAGGATGTCCCTGGGATATCCTTGGGACGTCCTAGGGATATCCTTTCATTGTACTTGGTACATCCCAGGGACGTACCAGAAGGACTTCCCTTGGATGCCTTTTTTAGCGGCCAGCGGATGTCCTTGGGACATCCCTAGTATGTACGTTTTCCCGACAAAGGACATCCCTGGGATGTCCTAGTATAAAATTAGGGACGTCCATGGGAAGTCCCTAGGATGTACTGGTGTTGTTAGGGTATGTCATTGACTGATATCCTTTCAAATTTTTGAAATGAAATTACAGAATATATTATACTTATTTCGACATATTTTGTTAATATCGTTAATTTGACATTCTGTTGGATTCAAAAATAGTTCAGTGGCATAAACTGAATGTTAGACAAGGAAAGATTTATCGGATCTCTCTATATTTCAATACGACCGCGTTGGTAGCATTGGAGAGAAAGATGAAAGAGGAGGGAACTGTCCTCTCTCTCGTTCAAGGTAGAAAAGAGCTCAATTGAAACATGACACTACTACTCAGCAATTCTTCACCAGCGTTTCAAACTAAAAATTGTAATTCTAATTTCCCAATTTTTTCCCCAGAAATGGTTATTTCACATGGAACTGTTACTCTATCTACTTCAACCGGAAGTCGATGCAGCCATCATGGCTCCCCCTTGGGCCAATCCCAAACTAAACCCCTGCGCCTCCCAACCGAGAGGGTGGCAACTTTTGTTTTGGCCGCCAGATGGCAAGTGCTACAAAATATTCCAGGTTAGTGAAGCAAGCTGTAATAATACCAAAGCAAAAAGTCCAAAACAACTCATTTCTATCAAGTAAACCTATACTACCATCATCAGCACTATCACTTATAATTTTTCGAAACCTATTAGTATCATTATCATTAAATATTTAAAATTTCTTGCATTGGTGAGAACTTCCTATCTCTAATCACACTATTTCAGTTAGCGTTTGGAGAGCAAAAATATGTTTTCCCTAGAGTCACTTTATAAGTAGAGTGACGACAATAGACATCCAAATGGCTGTCATTTCCGGAATGTCAAGTCACTGAATAGCTAAAATCTGAAGGGTATCTTTCATGCATTAATGAATTTGCGCCTTCGCAGTGCTCACCTGATGTAAGGTTTAGATATTTGATATTTTTATGTCACCATTTGAACAATCTAAGACTTACTAGTCCCGAAAGAGGAATTCTTATAGTTAATATCCAAGGTACTGACGTATAGAGTTTCATGTCTGATTGTTGGATGTTTTGTGTCCAAAGAGCAAAATACAAGGACAAAGCATTGACAAAGTCAAATAGAATGCGTATAATTGATTAGATTTTCAAAATGTCTTGCATTGGTGAGAACTTCCTTTCTATAACCACACTATTTCAGTTAGCGTTTGGAGAGCAAAAATATGTCTTCCCTAGAGTCACTGTATAAATAGAGTGACGACAATAGACATCCCAATGGTTGTCATTTCCGAAATGTCAAGTCACTGAATAGCTGATATCTGAAGGGTATCTCCCATGCATTAATGAATGTGCGCCTTCGAAGTGCTCACCTGATGTTAGGTTTAGATATTTGATATTTTTATTTCACCATCTGAAAAATTTTAGACTTACCAGTCCAAAAAGGCGGATTTTAATAGTTAACATCCAAGGTACTGACGTATAGAGTTTCATGTCTGATTGTTGGATGTTTTGTGTCCAAAGAGCAAGAAACAAAGACAAAGCATTGACAAAGTGAAATAGAATGCGTATAATTGAATGGAGAGAATAAGACAGGTGGATGCACCTCCATACTGAAGGTTTTAGCAATCAAAAAGTGTACAACTATTGTCGTCACTCTATTTATAAAGTCAGTCTAGTCTTTCCCATATGTCCTTATCTTCAGTTTTTCAACATAAATTGATTGAAATTTTATGTTGGTAACACTAAAAATGAGAAGACATAGAGAAGAAGACCATTTTAACCTTTTTATGTTGGGTATATATGATCATCTTCTCGATTTCTTGTCATTTTCAGTGTTGCCAACATTCAATTTTCATCATTTTACCTTGGAATACTGAAGACAAGGATAGATGGGGAAGACATATTTTCTCTCCCAAAGCTAGCTGAACCTATTGAAAACGGTATCCGTTTAAACTTCGAACTCGATTGTCAGAGGCCTCGAAAATATCAATAGTTTCAGACTTGAAAATATTGATAAGGGTGATGGAATCAAGTATTCGATAGTATATTGTTTAACGAGCACGAAATCATAGTCATTTCCCACGAGATTGAAGTTTGCAGCAAGAGCCGTAGGCGAATGCTGCTAATCATACGAGTGGGAAATTATCATTCTGTGCGAGTTATGCACTATACTTTTTCTACAACTGTAACAGATATTTAGACATTTTTCATTTCTTCGGCTTGTAGCCACCTGATTTTCTCTTTGGTAAATGTTCATCTATTAGAGTGAGCTGTCATTGCTTGAAATTTGACATTTCATGGGAGATTAGATTTTGTGGATTATTAATACACTGAAGTCATTGTGATATCAGATACGGAAATAAAATTGATGACATCATTGATTTATCGGACACAGTAAAGCAATTATAATTGTGTTATAGTCGCAGAAAAAATAATTTTGATGGTTTCATTTTAATTTAGGTTGGCTATCCTTGTCCGCCTGGAATGGAACTGAGCCCATCTGTCGGGAAATCTGGAAAGAATCTATCTGCAGAATGCAGATGCACTCCGGAAAAAGCTCAATCTGCTACAGACGGAGCTTGCTACGATTTATTTACTCTAGGACCTTGCCAAACTGGACACTACTTTGGACCAGACACAAAATATAAAAGTGAGAAGTCAGTAAAATCATTCTAATAATACCTCAATGTTTTTCAATGAACTGCTCTGAATTTGAAGTCTACATTATTACTTTTTTTGTTAGATTTTGCTCGTGTTACTTCAAATGTGGAGCAGGTCAGTTGATAGGTTAGGATCATTTCTTCCATTTTCTACTGCATCGAAACGTGGGCATTTCTTGAATGGAATATTACAGGTTGTAGCATACCTCTGTTGTCCAACTTGAACACTCCTGAGCGGTTTGTTTTGAAGGGTTGACCAATAATCACAAACAAAAAATGAATGGGAACTAATGAAAACAAAGTAAACAGACCGCTTTGACAGATTTCAAAATTTCCGATAGGTGGCATACGCTTATTCTCTATCGCGAAAACAATGAAATTTTCATTATATCACGATGTTCTGAATATTCGAGATAATTCTGTCGCTTCATTGTTCACAAAATTGTGTTGAGTTAACAATGAGAGACAGAATTATGACGAGATATTCAGAACAAAGTGATATTTTACTAGACTATTGCACGAAGCATTAGAAGCACTTATTAAAGATGAACAAGCCATATAACCAAAGCGAATCATTCTGATATCTACAGCTATAATTATGTTATGTCAAACTGACAAACTTTTCTTTGGTATCCATAATTACATCGTTGAAAACACCAACGCTGTAAGATAATCAGAATGAGCGACAGATAGTGTTTTCGCGATAACACAAAATGAGCGAGATAGTTTCTACAACAAGATTGTAGAATTTCACTTCTCATGCATTCACTGAAGATGAGTCTAAATAAGGTTCGAAATATGTACTACTATTTCAAATGATGATCTACATCCTATACTATCGAAACTGTGGATATGCTTTAGATTTTTCCTTTTACTAGTTAGATACTATTGTTTCTCTATGGGAGAATGATCAACGGCTTTGATATCGTTGTAGTTCGAAACGGCAATGGGGCGTTTGCAAACAGATGAAACCATGTCCAGAGGAAAACACGATTTTCTGGCCAAAAGACGGAAAATGTTACCAAAGACTGACGAGAGGACCTTGTCCAAAAGGACAACTGCTCACTGTAGATTCTAATAAAGAATTGGCAGTATGCCAATGCGACAAAGATGATGAACTAAGCAATTATAGGTGAGGTATTATTGAAAATGCAGGAATTGGTACTTATTTGAAGAAATTTGTCTGTGCAGGTCTCAAAACGGACAATGCTATCAGCACTACACAAGAGGACCTTGCTTAGAAAAAGGACATCTATTTTTACCAAACAAGACTTGCGGGTGCCATACTGGTATGCCCCATTATCATAACGATACACAACAGTGTTTTGAATTAGGTAAGAACCATTTTATGATAAAAAAATATATCATGATTCTGTCATATACATATGACCCTCGCACTTCAACAGATGTTCAATAATTTTATGATTGTTCTTCTCTCTCGCAAACAACGTACTCTAGATAACTATAATGAAATCATCACGATTATTTTTTTCACCTATCTGAATGTCACATTTTGCTGATTTTAACCAATAACAATGCGTCATTTTAGCAAATCATCAAGTATTATACTGATAAAACTGCCCCTCCTCGATAAAACCTTGTTTAGACTGAACTGTCGAAATTAATCTGACGTGACCTATGTCCTTCATCTGTGTTTTTCCACCTATCATATGTGCAATTAACAATGGAATCAATTATAAATTCTCCGAGAAAAAAAAAGTCACTTTTTTAAACGTAATATTCTTAAACGTAACTTTTTTGAAAGTAAATCAACGTAATAACACGAATCATGTTTAATTTCTTTCAGATTTCCAAGAGTATATTATACCAACCGATTGATAATAATAAAAGGACACAGAAATAATTTCACTCAAAATTTGCTGGTGACTAAGTGAATTGAATTTTCATCAGATTGGTGAAGACAATTTTTTCAAGTACAACTCGTTCTTGAAGTTTCATCAGATAATTCTTCATTTTCAAAACTCAAACTTTTTCATTTGTGGCAAAACCATTGGTTTGTTTTCATATATATATATGTATTCATATTTATACCAAATAAACAAGTTTTCGTGGAAAAGAAAAAATTATCAATAAAACTTGAATTTCAGAATCCATATTCTCCGATGATTTCTTTCTCCTCTATTTCATCCCGCACTGAGTCACAATACATCATCCCCGTATTTTTTCCTGTTCCAGGCACCATAGGCCCCTGCGCCCAAGGCCAAACCTTCCAGCTGCCTCACTCGACCGCCCCCCACGCCTACTGCACCTGCAAACCGGGCTACATCCCCTACCGCGACCACCCCGCCTGCTACCGCCCCTACACGCGAGGCCCCTGCCCCGCCAGCCATATCCTGCTCAACGACTCGACCACCTGTTTGCCGCAGCCCTGCGAGCGCGGCCATCTCTACTTCCCCGAGCTGAAACGCTGCCATCGCATCGGCACGCGCGGGCCTTGTCCCAGTCACGCCGTCGTCACCTTCGACTTCGATACGCGGCCGTCCGTCGACGGCATCAGCTACAACGGCCAATGCGCGTGCACGGACAAAGCGTGCAGCCACGAGGCAGGCGACAGGCCGGCCTGCGATCGCGCGAAGGGGCTCGTGCGCTTCGGGGAGGAGTGCCACAAGATGTACACGCAGGGGCCGTGTTTCAGGGGGTCGTGGTTGGTGGCCGAGCGCGAGGGGAAGCAGCTTGAGCTGTACACGGAACATAAGGGGGAGAGGGTGGGGGTGTGCGAGTGCATTCCGGGATATAAGAGAAGCGTGAGGACGATAGGGAGGAGGGAGGTGACGTTGTGTTTAGCGCCGACTGTTATGTTGGCGGAGTATTTGAATGGGAACAATACCGTCCCTCGGGTTGTTAGTGTATGATGAATGTGTTCGATTTTTGTGATTTTTTTAATAAAATGTGAAACTTAGATTATTTATTCATTTATACCTATTTAATGAGCACGCTTCACAGAAAAAATAGCAAGCGAGGATAAATTATTGAGTAGTACCGCATCAACAAAAGATTGTTCAGAATGTTAAGGAGAAATATATCACCCTTCACCATAAAAATAACAATAAACTAGCAAAAACATCAAACCCAGTTTCGCAATCACCAGAAATTTTACACACACCCACAAGAATAATAGTTATACTAACCCTGAATTCCAACGCAAACTGCAAAAATCTTGAAGAAGAAAAAATGTTTACAAACAGATTTCCAAGAATACATTACTATATATTTTCACTTACCCCACTTTCCTTCTCAGATCCTTAACTTCACTTTCCAAAGACTGGATGAGATTCTTCTTTTCCTTCAACTGACCCTCCAGAAAGTCTATTTTCTCGGTCTTTGCATCCACCACATTCTGAAAAAAAAACAAAATCAACGAATTTTTCAATATAAACTAACTCATGATCATACCAGTAGTTCATCCTTGTCTTTATCTATTTTGGAAAGCTGCATCTTCATGACTTCGATATCGCCCTGTAGCTTGCCGATTTCCCGCTCGTATCCAGCGGTCTCTCGGTGTGTCGAGCTTATTTTCGTCTGAGAGCTCTGCAACTCGGTCTCCGCTCTAAGCAGCCGGGTCTGAGCCTCGTTCAAAGCCCTCTCAGTTTGATCATGAAGGATTCTGAGTAGAAAGAAAAATGTAATTTGCGTAATACATCAGGAAAATACTATTTTTTTTCGAACGGTTGAGACGTTTTTTCGAGAGAGCAGTTTAGTAGTCAAGGCGCATCCAAGGCTGGTAATGTTTAAGAGGTTCATAAAATGATTTCGACCAGCGAAACACTATACACAATGCCGTTTATATAATATTTTTTCTGTGACGAGAAACTAAAGTTGACGTTATGAGAATTTCTCTCACTTGCAACAGGAATCACGTTCTCGCTGAATGGAAGAGACCACTGATTTCTTAAAATGACATCATCGTGAGATCTATACCAAAAAACTACCAGTTAATAAAATTTGCATTATTTCATTCATACCAGGACGATAAAGAAGTAAGTAGAAATATGTTCATTTCAAATCTCACACTTTCTGCGCCATTTGAAATGGTGTCAATTCATTGGTGTGACTAGTGTGACGTATTAGTCCCGACACGCCTATTGTCCTTGAGCTGACCAATCACACTGCAACAATGAAGAATGGCAAGGTATCAGAGAGAGGTAGCTACAGCTCTCAACTAATACGTCACGACTCCACCTTCATATCTGGCTTTTTGAAATATCAAATGCTGATTTCAAAACTATATAGATTTGATTTCCTTCAACGTAAACTTATAATATTAATTGTACATTGGATGTAAATCATGATTACTCGATTGACAGGGATTTGGACGGATTTTATCCCTCAGTGATCTTCTCCATTACAAAATGACGTCTTCTAGTAAACAGTGATCTTATTAGACCTCAACGTTACAAACTCAGCAAATCACAACAAAATTCTCATAATCTCCGATTATATAATGCTCTTCCTGCCAGTATTAAAACTATGATTCTGTTTTATTTCAAGGGAGTTATGAAAGATTATTTTGAAAAAAATTGCTTTCACTGATGCAGAATATCTGGCTCACGTTAGTGGCCACAATTTTGATACAAGGAACACACTTGCCGAACATCCACTCTTGAGGGAAACGTAAATGTGTATTTTGTTATTGTTTTTGATTGTATATTATTCGTCTTTGATTGTATATTTTCTGTCTTTTATTGAAAATTATTATTTTTTACATTCTTTTCACCAAATTGGAATCATTTAGGACTTGCTACAAATGTATAAATGTACATCGAGTAGTCAATAAAACTTTACTCTACTCTAGTCTACTCGAATGTCAACCTCGAAAATTGTAGTTCATAGAAATAAGGAACAACAGTTTTCTACAGTGTGTCCAACTTTTTTGGCAGCACCGTTTTCATATTTTTATTGATTTTTATTGAATTCGAATTTTTATTTTCAACATGTAGTAAGTATATCTAGCTATTCAATTCTTTTACATCACTATAAAGAAGCAATAAAACAGTTAGGATTTTGGAATTGATTGCAGTGTCTTGTTTGGATGCCTCTGAAATGGTCGTATTCCAATTTTCATCTTAATATCACATAAGGGGTGTTCATTTAGAAAGTTTATCTTATAAAATCACAGCAGAAAAAATATCATATATACCAAAATTATTCTGACATAAAAAGCAATGTTTATTGGAAATAATAATAAACGATGGACTAGATATTTGTTTGTATATGTATGGACTCACTTCAATTGATTGTAATTAGCTTTTTGATTGTTCAATTCATTCTTTGTAGATCTCAGCTGTTCTCTGAGTAAGTTACAATCTTCTTCTAGCTGAGTGACATTAGATCTGCTGGTACATTGGCTAACTACTAAGTCTCTTCTTTCGTTTTCAAGTTTCAAAATGTGACCTTCCATTTCTTGGAAAGCCTTCTTCATCCGTTCTTGGTCGAACACTGTCGTTTCGTTCAGTGCCTAAAAACACCAAAATTGCCGTTTGAAGATATAGTTTTATTGGGAATTTCATTAATATATAATGACACGACAACTTTTCCTTGATTACAGCAAAAATTGCACACTTGGAATCGATAATTGCTAAGCAAAAATTACATTGCACGTATTTCATAGAAATTTTGATTTATGCATTGGTGTAAGTTTATAAAAATAACAAAAGTTTGAATCGCTTTTCCATGTAAACAATAATTCTTTCGATTCTTTCATTCCAAGCAATACTATACCTGTGCATCAGAATAATCAGAGGCAGAGTCTCTTGGGATTTGTTTAGATGATAAATCAATCAATCAAAAATTCATGTTTTTGTCCATGAAGAGTCTTTTTGACAACCTAATATGAAGTTTTTTTTTCAGTTCCATTTTTCCTTCATTGATACATTTTATACAAATAATATATAAACTATAAATAATTTTTTAGTAGGCATGACATGAATGATCAGAAAGTAATTCATGAAGTATTATCGACAGTTGGTAGAATTGAAATTACAAATGGTGAACAAAACTTAAATACCATTAAGATATGTCAAAATAATAGTACTCATATAATGAACAAGAAGAAAAAAAAAAGCGAAGAAAAAAAAAAGGAAATCCATAAAGTCTGGTAGCTTTGATCATTCCTTTTGCATCAGAATATATTTTTGCACTTTATTTTTGAATTGTATAATATTTGGGCTGTTTTTGATATCATCTGGTGTTTTATTGGATTTTTGTTTGAATGAGTATAGAATTACTAGAATAATTATTATACCTATACTATATATATTTTAAAGTAACACGTTATGGTTGTCACGTCCATGTCGGCTTTATGTGTTGTCATTTTCATGTTTTATATTTAAGCATATTAATAGTCTAAACATTAATTGAACCAAGCCATTATAATGCAATTTATCGAATTCAAATTACCCTCCTTGAGTACTTGGCAAAGCTTCGTATCTTCAGATATTTCACGGAATCGCCCGAAGATCGGACACACTCAATTTTGAAACACTCACTCAAGAACTCATAGACAAAACGCTAGTCCCCTTTGCCTCTCAAAGCCAAATATATTCTTTTCTATATCAAAGTCGCGATCGCGCATAATTTGTGAAGTGCATCACGTGCCATTTATCATCCAGAATCCAGGTTCCAGAGTCCAGACCATCGGAGCCAGAGAAAATCAGGAAACGCCGACAGACCCGGCGTTTTTAAGGTATGAAGTGGCACCAAGTTTCATTTTAAATTTATTTATATACAGTCCATTCTCACTCTCTCTCAACATTTGGTCCATCGAGCCATCGGATGCTCTCTCAGAAATTATTGCATTTTTTTGGCCTGGTTTGATTAATTACTCATTGGTTATAATAGATTTAATTGAAAATCATATCGCTATCCTTGTTAATCTCGTACATGAAATATCTCTCTCTAACGTCTCTTTATTTCTTCGAATTCGCACAAATTTACAGTAGTAGTAAAAACTAATCGCCATCAAGGCTGATGGTTTTTCTGGGGTATCCCTAATCCGACCGATAAGTACTCTTTTTTGTCAAGACCACCTCTCAGCTGATTCTTCATTTGTTTACCAGTTTATCGAGTTGGGATTCCCGCACAAAAATATTTTAAATTCATAAATCTTTCAAATCAGACGGAAAACTTTATAGTTTCATTCTCCAACTTTATCTCAATTGTGCAAAAATGGCAGCTAATGTCAATCGATTAAAACAATATATCGCTTTTCGTGACATGAATGTTAACGAAATGAAAACTATTTTCCAACATTCAGCTATGGCTGAAACAAATGTTGCTTATCATCGCGCATTCAAGGTCGCATTCAAGCATTTCGAAGTTATACGCGAAGAATTCAAAAAGGCTCACCAGAATATTCTTTCTGTGGGCTCGATAATCGACGGTACTAATCTGGAAGATCACGAAAAAATCAGAAAGACATTTGAAGATGAATCTATTTCAATCGAAACTACTTACTATACACTTTTTGGGGATCCAGATAATCCTCAAAATACTACTGTCATTACACAGCCAAACGTTAAGCTACCCCAAATTGAAGTTCCAAAATTCGCGGGAGATTATAAAAGGTTCAGAGGTTTTATAGATATTTATGATTCTTTGGTACATAACAACCCTAATCTCTCAAATATAGAAAAATTCACTCATTTATGCAACTCCTTACAAGGTCCAGCTTTATCACTGATTCAATGCACATCTCTGACAGGGGATAATTATGAAATTGCCTATAACGCGCTCACGAAGAGGTATCATAATAAAAGATTGATAGCAACGGCTTATCTTCAGGAGATTGATAATTGCAGCAAAATTCCCGAAAATAACGCTAATTCGTTCAATTTGCGTAAATTGATAGACACGTTTGATGAAAACATCGCAGCCCTTAAAAATATGCAATTTCCTGTAGACACGTGGGATTTTATTTTATTTTTTTGGTTGATGAAGCGACTTGATTCGCATACAGTGACTCAGTTCGAATTTAAACAAAATTCGACTGATATCCCTTCGTATGAATCTCTTAAAGATTTCGTCACACAGCAGTGCAATGCTCTTGAGACCGTGGGGGCCTCCCAACGATCATCAAAGGTGCCTCCACCTGACAGAAAACATTTGTCTCGCCCCTCGTACACGAATTATCAAAACCCGGTGCGAGCTTCCTCGCTGATGTCAACAACAACTAATGGAAATAGAACTTATTGTTTCGTTTGTAAAAACTCGGATCACGCCATTTATACGTGTCAGAACTTTTTATCAAAATCCTCAAAGGAAAGAAATGATTTTGTAAGAGCTAATAATTGTTGCTTAAATTGTTTAGGGACAAAGCATAACGTGAGATTTTGTACGTCAAGATCTAATTGTCGTATTTGTGGCAGAAGAGGACACCATACGTTGCTACACATAAATTCCGAAACGAATCAATCGGATCACGCAAACGGCGACACAATAAATACGCGCGCCTCCAGTTCCGGGCCGGTTAATTACACAGCAGCAACCGGTACCGCGGCGCAGTCCGCGAGATGCGCTGTCAACTCTCTTGCAGGAATAGCATCCAATGTACAGGGCGTCCTACTCGCTACAGCCCAGATTGAAATAAACGATATTTTCAATAACCCTCACAAAATTCGAATATTACTTGATTGTGGGAGCCAAGTGAATTTCATAACTCAGAAATGCGCGAATAAGTTAAGATTGACTCGTTACAAATCGCCGATATCTGTTAGCGGGATAGGTCAAATGCAAATGAACTCAGTCTCAAACGCCGTTACTTGTTGCATTCATCCTTTAGATAAAATTCACCTCTCGTTTACGCTCGATGCCATCATATTGCCAAAAATTTGTACGGATTTGCCTAGCTCTCATATTATATGTGACGCGTCGTGGTCACATATTCATGGATTGCCTCTAGCAGACCCTAACTTCCACACTCCGGGCCCTATTGACATGTTATTAGGGGCGGACATTTTCTCTCAAATTCTTCTAGAGGATAAGATGGTAGGGAATAAAAATGCACCTATAGCGCTCTCAACAATCTTTGGCTGGATTTTGATGGGGTCTACACGTCATATCTCAATTACTCCTCCTCACCAGCATTCTCTTTTATGTACGACTGACTCAGTTGATCTGGATAAAACTCTTAAATCTTTCTGGCAGATCGAGGAAGTTCCAGAGACTACCCGAATGTCACCAGAGGAAACGGCATGCGAAAGACATTTCGTTGAACATATATCGCGTATATATACAGGGCGATATGTTGTGGCATTACCATTTCGGGATGCCTGCCCCCCCTATTTTGGAGATACTCGCACCCTCGCTCTACGCAGATTCGCAGCGCTGGAAAAACGCTTATTAAATGATCTCGACCTTTATGAACAATATTCAGCTTTCATGAGGGATTATTTGGAAGCTGATCACATGGAGAAAATTGTTGAATCCTTGCCTCCAAAGAACGTATTTTACATTCCTCATCACGGTATATCAAAGCCGGAAAGTACTACCACTAAGTTACGGGTAGTGTTGGATGCTTCAGCTCATGTTCCCGGTTTCTCCTCTCTAAACGACTCTCTCCTCATTGGTCCCAAATTACAGCAGAACATTATTTCACTTTTATTGAATTTTCGACTACATTCATATGTATTGTCTGCTGATATAAAACAGATGTATAGACAAATTTTAGTCTCACCAGAACACACAAATTTTCAAAGAATAGTTTGGAGGTTCTCTCCTGATGACCCTATTAGTGATTATAAATTGAAAACCGTAAGTTTTGGAGTGTCTTCAAGTCCTTATCTTGCCCTTCGAACGATCTTACAGTTATGTAATGACGAGAGGAAACGATTTCCTAAGGCATCCCATATTTTGAAAACATGTCTTTATGTTGATGACCTCTTATTCGGATGTGATTCCTTTGATGAAGCTCTTTCCATACAGAAGGAAATAATAGAATTATTAGGGGCGGGTGGCTTTGTCTTACGGAAGTGGGGAAGTAACGAGCAAAAACTACTCGCTAATATACCCAAAGAATTTTTACAGAATGAATCTCTCTCATGTGATTTCGAGAATGACCATGTCATAAAAATCCTTGGCCTAAAATGGCATCCCTACTCAGATTCTTTCTCTTATGACGTCAAACCTCTGAATCGAACATGTACCAAACGTGTTATACTCTCTGAACTTTCCAGGGTTTATGACCCGTTGGGTTTTTTAGCACCATTGACGTTTTATGCAAAATTACTCATTCAGAATCTCTGGTCACTTGGGCTATCATGGGATGAAGACCCTCCTGTTGAAGTTCTTAAAAGCTGGGAGCGATATGTTGCTGAGTTACCTCGTTTATCTTCGTTTCAGCTACCCAGACAAATCATTTCAAATTCATCCGGGTCTCATTCTCTCCACGGTTTCTGTGATGCCTCAGAACGAGGATATGCTGCCGTTGTTTATCTCAGATTTTGCCCCACCGACTCGGATCCTCCTCAGGTATTTTTGGTATGTGCCAAGTCTAAGGTGGCCCCCCTCAAACGAATTTCACTACCAAGGTTAGAGCTATGCGCCGCAGTTCTTCTCGCCAAACTCCTAGAATTTGTCATTTTAACTTACGAAAACAAGGTTACTCTCGATGAAGTTTATGCATGGTCAGATTCTACAACGGCTCTCACTTGGATAAAAAATTCACCGCATAAGTACAAAACTTTTGTCAGTAATAGAAGTTCCTATATTCAGGAAAAAATTTCCCCTTCCCACTGGCGTCACGTTCCCACCAATTATAATGCCGCAGATTGTGCTAGTCGGGGCTTATTTCCTTTGGAATTATGTAATCACTCTCTCTGGTGGACTGGACCGGCATTCTTGATGTCGTCTTCAGACCTTTGGCCTACTCTATCACTTCCCGACTCATCTCCCCAATCTGAGACAGAAGAGCGTAAATTGGCGTTGATATCGGTGGTAACGTTAGATTCTTTGGACCACCTGCTCGACCGAATATCATCCCTTGCCAAAATAAAGAGGATTGTATCATATATTTTGCGATTCATTCATAATACGCGATTCCCACACGATAAAAGAAAAGGATTTCTCAATCAATTTGAAATTCAGGAATCACTTCTCCTTTTAGTAAAACGAACTCAGCAAACGTGCTTTTTTGATGATATATCAAGGCTCGATAGAAAGTTGCCCATTTCTAAACCTCTCAGAAAATTATTCCCTTTCATCGATACCGCGGGTATTCTCAGGGTCGGCGGTAGGTTACATTTCTCTCAACTTCCCTACGATAGGAAGCACCCCGCATTATTACCACGTGTAAGCCGGTTGACGGATCTCATCATTGAGGAAACCCATAATGTGAATATGCATCCGGGCATTCAAACACTTCAATTTTTAATTTTGCAAAATTTTTGGATTTTATCTGCCAAGAGAGCAATTCGTAAAATAGTTCACAGGTGCATGAAATGTTTTCGTCTCAATCCGTCCCAATTTCAACCCCCTATGGGCAATTTGCCGGCTTGCAGAATATCACAAGTGAAGGCTTTCTCAATAGTGGGTGTTGATTATGCTGGACCCCTAACTATTAAATTGGGTAGAACCCGCAAATCATCCACCTCCAAAGCATACATTTGTCTTTTTGTTTGTTTCGTGACGAAGGCCTTGCACGTCGAACTCGCGTCAGATTTATCCACTGAGGCCTTTCTTGCATCTTTTCGACGCTTCATGGCACGTCGTGGACGGTGCAGTCAGCTGTATAGCGACTGCGGCACTAATTTTATTGGCGCCCATCGATATCTCTCAGAAATAATGGAAAATATCGCGAAGTCGGAGTCCATCACCTGGAGACATCATCCCCCCAGTGGGGCACATTTTAACGGCTTGATCGAGGCTGGAGTTAAATCCATGAAAACGCACTTGCGGCGCGTGATAGGAGAACAAGTCCTCAATTACGAAGAGCTCAATACAGTACTTGTCCAAGTAGAAGCGGTCCTCAATTCGCGTCCTCTATCTGCTTTGAGTAACGATCCGCAAGACTTCTCAGTATTAACTCCAGGGCATTTTTTAACTCTGGAACCGTTAACTTGCGTTCCTGATCCTGATCTAAAACATCTAAAAATGAATAACTTAACAAGATGGCAGTTATTAATACGTCTCCACCAAGACTTTTGGTCTCGTTGGCATACAGAGTACCTCCACGGTCTCCAACAGCGGTCTAAGTGGACTGATCCATCAAACACCATCCTTCCCGATACTTTGGTATTGATCAGGAATGATAATACCTCCCCCCTACACTGGCCTCTTGGCAGAATTGTGGAATTACACCCTGGCAGAGATGGTGTTACAAGAGTTGTTACCGTTCGCACAAAAAATGGACTCATGAAGAGGCCGGTAGTCAAGCTGTCACCTCTTCCAATAGTTGATTTTCAAATTTAAAAAAATTTAGTTTTTTCAAGGTCGGCGGTATGTCACGTCCATGTCGGCTTTATGTGTTGTCATTTTCATGTTTTATATTTAAGCATATTAATAGTCTAAACATTAATTGAACCAAGCCATTATAATGCAATTTATCGAATTCAAATTACCCTCCTTGAGTACTTGGCAAAGCTTCGTATCTTCAGATATTTCACGGAATCGCCCGAAGATCGGACACACTCAATTTTGAAACACTCACTCAAGAACTCATAGACAAAACGCTAGTCCCCTTTGCCTCTCAAAGCCAAATATATTCTTTTCTATATCAAAGTCGCGATCGCGCATAATTTGTGAAGTGCATCACGTGCCATTTATCATCCAGAATCCAGGTTCCAGAGTCCAGACCATCGGAGCCAGAGAAAATCAGGAAACGCCGACAGACCCGGCGTTTTTAAGGTATGAAGTGGCACCAAGTTTCATTTTAAATTTATTTATATACAGTCCATTCTCACTCTCTCTCAACAATGGTTTATTTTTAAATGTTACATATGCATACGTCGATTGTTTCTTGGGAATAATGAAGATGATGATGATGATGATGATGATGATGAAGATGAAACAAGTTATATTATTTTCCAATTGTAATTCAGAAAGTATAAAATGTAATTCAGAAAGTATAAGTTGTAATTCAGAATAGTCAATTGTAATTCGGAAAGTATAACTTGAAATTCAGATTAGTTAATTGTAATTCAGAAAGCGTTATATGTAAGTCAGATTAGTTGAATGTAATTCAGAAAGTGTAACTTGTAATTCAGAATAGTGAAATGTATTTCAGAAACCGTCAATTGTAATTCAGAAAGCATACCTTGTAATTCAGAAAGTATCACTTATGATTCAGAAACTAGGAACAACCAGTATGCATCCATTCTCCTTGAGGTCCAGGTGTTGGAGAACAACAACTTGTTCACCTATGTAGAACAGAATATTGACCAGGCCAAAGATATAATTATTGTTGAAGGTGACTGTGCAGCCCTGGCACAACACACCACCATCACCATGCTGCAGCTCTGGCATTTCAAGATCTGCCCGTTGGTCGATAAATATAAAATATTGATGTTCACCACACAATGAACCATTCGTTGATTCCAATTCCCTACCCTTATTCAAGTCTATAGTTTTTATGAATTACAAGTGATACTTTCTGGATTACAAATTACGGCTTATGAATTACAATTAACTATTCTGAATTACAAGTTACACTTTCTGAATCACATTTCACTAATCTGAATTACATGTTATGCATTCTGAATCACAATTGACTGATCTGAATTACAATTGACGCTTTCTGAATTACAATTAATCATTCTGAATTACAAATAACACTTTCTGGCTTACACTTTACTAATCTGAATTACAAGTTACACTTTCTGAATTACAATTGAAAAAGGTGTAGTGTGATGACCATGAATTAGGGAATTCCTAATTAATACAGAATTTAATTTAAGCTTTTTTTTGATGATATAATAGGAAATTTATAGACTATTGATTAAATAGTGCTCTCCAAAAGAAGATGTGATTGTTTCTTTATACAGTTGATTTGTTGGAGTATCATTTATGCTAACAGTGAGTAAAAAACAAATAAAATAAAACATGCATAAAACATAAAGAGATGAATCGGAATATATTATTTTTATAAGAATACACCTGAATAAATAATAGGAAAAATATTTCGATTACATTAGGTAAGTATTAAAAACGCTCAAAATTACTCTCTGAGGTTATTTTTGGTGAAATCATATAAGTCGTGTCGATTTTGGGTCATTGTAATTAGTATGGAGAATAGTTACAAACACCGAGAGTTGAAATTTAAATATCAACAATATCAACTGGCGAATCAATAAACAACATTTCTTACTTGTATCTTGATTTTCAAGGAATTATTCTCCTTTTCAATATGTTTCAACTCCTCTTTATGTACTTCCAATTCCCTTGCTTTCCTTCTACAACTTGTCTGAAAGATAAAAAAATTAACTTCTTCATCAGCATAATTTCATTAGTATAAATCATTACTTTCTGACAGATACCGTCGAGCTCAGTTTCAGAAGTCTGTTTACTTTGACTGTCCACTCTAGCAGACAAGGAATACTTTTCATTGTTCAAAGTCCTAATTTCATTCTGAAAAGCTGAAATTGTTAGGTCCTTTTCTTTCATACCGTTGAGAAGTTCTTCGATTCTTTCTTGATACTGAAACAAGTCACATATAAATTATTATTGGTGATTCCACGCTTTATGAATTTTTATTCACCTTATTAGATTTTTCTTGGCCAGGCCTAGACCTGATTTCTTCAAGCACTTTATGGTACTCTTTCATATAATACTCCTTTTCCTGTCTCAGACTGTCTATTTGTTGCATTGCCTAAAATAAACCATTTTTTGTGTTTCTTCAGTGTTTATTAAACATTCATTTATAAAATAAATGGAGTGGGAACTAAAACATTTTTTCATTGATTGTCTTCGTTTCCCCAAGGAACATCGTTATTTTTAAAGGAATATACAGTGTGTCCCCAATTCCGAATTAATTCGTAAAATCCGAAACATTTTGATCACATCAGTTAGGATAGATATTTGCTTTAATTCCATAGGATGTGAAAAAAACAAAGAGAATAAAACATTAACAACGTATTGATCACCAATTAAACTCCTGATTTTTTTAGAGAATTAACACACCTTGCATGGACAGTTTGAAAAACTCTGATTTAGGAGAAGTTGTTTGAGGATCAGCAAGGGTTTGCTTTATCAATGACCTAGCTTAGCCCTCATTGTCAATATGAAAATAAAAATTTGGACACAGAAATTACAAAATCAAGTTTGATTATCATCATACCGATCAAGAAGAGTAGCCATATCACTTTTTGTGAACTTCGAAAAATTGTGCTATCACATTTTCTAAATTGCTTTCCTAAGTTTTTTCGATAAATATCGCAGAAATGTGTGAAAGAACTATTGAAGAAGCTGCTGCGAACATAGCCTACAGGGTATACAGAGTAGGTACCCGCTTTTGTTGGTGTAAAATCGCTTATAGGTCCTGCAAAAATTGTTTTTCTGATATGTACTGAATATTGTACCGGGTGTACCACTAGGAAAGGACGCCGACTGTATCTCGGAAACTATTTACCGCACAGGTATCGGAAAAAATTATTTCTGATAAAAGTGGACAAGAAAAATCTCTGGAAATTATTTTCAAGTTTCCAGGACAGCCCCTAGAGGGCGTAATTTCATTGGCCAGTTTAATAAACGGTTTTTGATGTAAATTTGATATATCAAGACATATCAAAATCACTTTTTCCATGTTCTCGAGTTGATTTCCAAGCATTTCGATCAAAAAAATTGCGCTAGCTCTTTAAATAAAAGAGGGAGGGAAGGATGAATAGTACTTTGAAAAAACTCTCATTACTACAGTTTGGTGTAACGGAATTCATCGATCTTGGTCTCATTATGAAGGGTTTTTTTGGTTCTTCCAGATGAATCACGAATCAAGTCGATTTAAATCCTGTGGTGGCCGCTAGATGGCATCATTTGAAAAATCAGACAATTTTCCTTTTTTTTCGAAAATTTCAAATGGAACCATATATTCATCCTACTCTAATATGATAGAGCAAACGAGAAGGAAAATGGTGAGAACCGCGAATTGACACCTCTTGAGGAACCGGTGAAATACTCGAAATAATATTATGAAAATATTCACCACAGGAATCTAACTTCAATATTCGTAATCAGAAATATCCTGTATCTATGAAATTATGATTTCAATAATTCATTTATTTTGGTTTCACAAACTGCTGTTATACCTATCTCACAATAGTGAAGGAGACTCTTGGTAATAACATAGCTAATTGAAATGTAAGTAGTGATGAGTGACTGATCCAAGTTGGCTTTGAATGAAAGAAACGTCAAAATATAATTGAAGTTCCATTGGAAGTTTTCACTGTTCATTGTGGATTGCTTATTTGTCAAAATGCCGATAACAAATGAGGAGGCATTTGACATGCTAACAGTTTGAATTTTAATATTATTCCGAGTATTTCTCTTCAAGAGGTATCAACTCGCGGTTTTCACCATTTTTCTTCTCGTTTACTCAACTTTCATATCATAGCAGGAAACATATATGGTTCCATTTGAAATTCTCGAAAAAAAAAATGGCGAATCGGCTGATTTTTCAAACGATGCCATCTAGCGGCCACCACGGGATTTAAATCGAGTTGATTCGTGATTTATCTGAAAAAACCCTTGATAATGAGACCAAGATCGCTCAATTTCGTTACACCAAACTGTAGTAATAAGAGTTTTTCCAGAGTACTATTCATCCTTCCCTCCCTCTTTCATTTGAAGACCTAGCGCAATTTTTTTTGATCGAAATGATTGGAAATCAACTCGAGAACATGGAAAAAGTGTTTCTGATATGTCTCAGTATATCAAATTTTCATAAAAACCCGTTTTTTAAGTTGGCCAATGCAATTATGCCCTCTAGCGGCTGTCCTGGAAACTTGAAAATAATTTCCAGGGATTTTTCCAGGCCACTTTTATCATAAATATTTTTTTCCTAAACCTGTGCGGCAAATAGTTTCCGAGATACAGCCGGTGCCCTTTCTCAGTGGTACACCCGGTACATTATTATTGTGACTTGCCCCCCCCCCCTCAGATTATTTTGTGCGCTAATATTAAAACTGTTGACAAACCTGTTCTTGTCTGTATTCCATTTCTTTGTCTAACAACTCTTTCATAGTTTTGACGCAACTTCCTGCTTCGCAGCAACATTTGCCAGCCTGTTTGCCATTCAGAATTTGCGAATTTGGCGATTTTTCATCGTCCGATTCTCTAATAGCTGAAGACTGTTTGAGAATGGAAGATTTCCTGCAGGTCTTTTTGTGTTGGGTTTTCGATGTAGCGGCAGTTTTCGATTTGGTGCTGGATTCTGATACGGTCAGACCAGGCCTTGACAGTTTTTTGGAAGATTTGTCAGTATCGTCTGAAGTTTTTCTTCTCGAGTCAGCCCCAGCGAATTGCTTAAAGAGTTTTCACAAATAATATTAACTTTTTCCACCGTCCTGAAGAATATTTACGATTTAATTTCATGAGTGTAAGATTTCGCCAGTATTAGTCCAAATATGACACTTCCGGTTTGACCGGAAGTGCATCAAATTTCATTTTATTTCAAATACAGAGTTTAATTTTTTTTTAGAAAATTGCCATTCAGTATACCGGATCCAACAGGATCATGGTACATCCCCTTTGTCTCCTTTGATAAGTGAGTAAATTTTGAGTTTTTTTTTATGTTCTGGTTCCCACGAGAAGGGATATCCTGTAATGTTCAGAAAACATCATGAGAACCAAGGGAAATGAGGTAGGAATTGGTGTTCTTCCTGAATTTCTGGAGGTTATATGCCTCGAGGGACACGAGTCTTTGGAAAGAGATGTTCTGCAGGTCTCCAAGGTGACCACGAAGGGGTGCGAAGCCTCAACTCGACGGGTGAATCTCGCGGGGACTTCCAAGGGAAGAACAATTGTTGATATTTCAGAAGAGCATCGTCCATGAAAATATCTATAAAATAGAGCCAGATCGCCAACTTTTCTACGGTGTCCCAGAGAAGTGAGTATGTGAGCGAGGCATCACCCACGAGACGAATTGCCCATTTTTGGTCAGAATCCAACAGTTTCAGGGTATGTTTGGGTGCAACAGTATTCCAGGACAGGTCGGATCTGTGCCTTATAGATTATAAGCAGCTGACTGGAAGAGAAATAGCTCCTGACCCGAAACAGAAAACCAAGTTTTTGGGATGCACTTTAAGCCATTGATCTCAAGTGATTTTTCCAAGAAAGGTTATTGCTGATAGTAATCCCAAGCATCGAAATAGATGTCATCAAAGGTATGGTTACTCCTGACAAGCTTATGTTGGACACAGTGAGATAGGCTTTTCTAGAGAAAAGGCATACTTGTGTTTCGTTTGCATTGAAATCTACCAAGTTATTGGATCCCCATTCGAGAATTGTTGCCAAGTCCATATTTATGTTGTCAACATTTCTTCCTTGTTCGTTTCTTATTTGCCTGGCTGGAATTGGAGCCCTGGAAGAGAAGGCGGTATGGAGGGTACTATCATCCGCGAAGCTGTGTACTGGTCATAAAGTTGCTTCTAACAAATCGTTTATATGGAGTAAAAATAGTGTTGGTGCTAGAATTGATCCTTGCGGAAAATTTATGATAAGTGAGTCAGATGAAACTCCGTCGACCACTACATGGAGAGACCTGTTTGAGAGAAAACTAGCTAGCAGAGAACATAGCTGGGGAGGCAAGCCATAAAATGGAAGCTTGGCGAGGAGTCCGTGGTGCCAGACTCGATCGAATGTCTTGGAGATACCAAGTGTCACGGCTAGGGTTTTACCATATTTTTCAATAGATTGCTGCCATATATGTGAGACGTAACCGAGCAGTTCACCAGTTGATTTCTGATGACGGAGGCCATATTGCCTATCGTTGATAATACTAGAATGTTCCAGGTATTTCATGAGCTCGATGTTGATAGCTTTCTCCATGATCTTTGAAATAATAAATAGCAGTGCGATCGGTCTGTAGTTGCTAGGTAAGGTCTTTTAGCCTACTAGCAATTTTCCAGTTGGACGGGAATATCTCCAATTTGTAAGAGTAGTTGAATAACTTGCAGAGAACAGGTGTTAGTTCGGGAGCACATTTATTGAGAACAATCAGTGGGATTCCGTCGGAGCCATAAGCTTTGTTGGTGTTGAGACCCAATAAAATCTTCCTTATAGTACGTTGGCGAAAGGTGATCTCGGGCATATGATTGTCAATTGGCGTTATGTTTCGAGGTTGTTTTCCCGATGAATCCAGAGTAGAATTTCCAGCAAATAGATGCGCAAAAATGTTGGCTTTCTCCTGGGCAGTTGTGGCTAGTGCTCCACCTTCCTTGGTTAGAGGAGGAAACGAGCTGGAGGTGAAGTTTCTTCCTACAGCTTTGGCGAAGGACCGAAGCATTGAATGAATTGCCCACAAAGATAACAGCTGCATTTTTAGCTAGAGTACTTGAAAATTTGCAAGTACCTACCTAAAATGTTCTCTTCGATTTAACTTTCGTCTACATTTCGCATACATTTTTAATGAAGAATTCTGATGGAAACAGAAATTATTTGAATAAAAATGATTGCAACAAAATTCGAAAATGATAGTTGACAGTTCCTACAATTGACAGACCGGATAGGACTCGAATGAATGAAGGTGTGTTTAAAAAACTCCGTTGCCATGGTAATGTGTTTGAGAAATCGTGTTGCTATGGTAACATGTTTAATTTCTTGAATAAATCACAGATCATCAATCCGTACTATTATTGTGATATATCGTTGAGAAGGTAATTCAATACTGAATCGTAATTTCCAGAAATAAAAAGAAACTTTGTATTCGAAATAAAAAAATTGGATGCACTTCCGGTCAAACCTGAAGTGTCATATTTGGTCTGATACTAGGGAACTTATACCCTCATGAAATCAAATTGGTGTACTAAATTTGAAATTTCCATTCAAAATAGCCACGAAGATACAGGGGAGTAAATTGGTTCCGGATCACCTGATATTTATAGTCTTTCATATCCATATTTCGAATTTTCATCAGTTGCTTCTCCTAGCAATAAAGAATAAATTTTGATTTTCATAGTCAGAAATATTGAAAATCTAATTGTTTTAGGGGTTTTAGGAAGATGAGGCGAGTATACTGTTTTTTGTTTTTTACTCAAAATATTTACAATATACTAATGCGTTCACTTTCAATACTACGTAAATATTTACAAATGGTATCAAGGTTTTAGAATCACAAACAAAGTTTCTGTCTGATTAAAACGATCAAAAATTTGCCACACATTATAACAACTGACTTGGCGAAAATGAGTGCTCAAGTACAACAGCAAATTGATTACAATATAAAAGTACAAAAAGACAGTGTGTTCAATTTTCGATTCGTTCGCGAGATATCTCAATTGTCTTCCGAGATAGAGTTGCCGTTTTCACATTACAGCCATTTTTTTGTGAAAGGAAGGATGCCGCAAGTTGCTGTCAGAGGTAATGGTAACCATTTTGAATAGTTTTTGGATGAATGACACATTGATATTCATCATACAGGACGTGGAAAGAAATTCTAAATTGAGAAAATCCAATCACGAATCTGCGATTGAAGGTCTATAAAAATAGCAAGTTTCTACACCTTGATTGGGTATGAAAGTATTGAAAAGGAATATTCTCAGATACATTATGAACTTGAAAAAAATGAATATACAGTGTGGGCCCACTTTAATGGAAACACCCCTGTATCTTTCGTAATCGTTGGGTAAGGATCCTGAAATTTGCTGGATACCAAAAATGCACTCTATGACCGAGTGGTGTCATCTTCAGTGATATACACTGCTCGCCAACAGTCATGGAACCACCCCAATTTCCGGGAAATGATATAAGGAGTCAAAATAGGTCACTTCAGATTCGGAATCAGGACGCCCAATTCACTAATAATAATTCATATTTTTCCTGGAAAATTTTCAGTCCTGAAAAAATTTTGTCGATCTTTTTACGGGAGCACCCCCGTATTTTACGTAATTGACTATATCTTGGATTTTTCTTTCCTCCTACAAATTTCAGAACCCTACTTCAATAATTACGTGCTTCCATGAGAAGTGAGACAAAATTTAATTTTTCTGAACTCCAGCAAATTTCAGGATCCTTACCCAACAATTACGTAAGATACAGGGGTGTTTCCATTAGAAGTGGTTGACACTGTATACAGTGTCATTCGTAAAGTCGGCATCATATGGGAAAAACTTTTATTGATGTCTCATTTTGGAATTCGAGGTGAACGTTGAGTTTTGCTTCAAAAAAGATGAAAAATGGCCTACTCATTCGGGGTCACGTGACTTTCGCAACATGTCAAAAGTGTCATTTTATCAAATTAATCGCTGAAAGTAGGCTTATTTGTTCGAATATCGAAAAAGTTTACTTGAAAAAGTTGTTTATATTTCAATTTTACACATGCTTCTCGAATTTGACTTTTTTATTGCAACTTTTATTTTTTCTTTTTTTTTCAATTTTTCAAAATTTCTGTTATATTTGAAGAATTGTTAATTTCACGAAATTACTTCATACCAGTAGGTAGCTTTTTCGTGCTTCTCACTTTCAATTACTTATTATCACTGATTATGGACAGAACTATAATTTTCTTCAGAAAATGATAAAACCCGCTTCCAAATTCTGTTATGTTTGATGCAAAGTTGATATATCGGCAAGCATTTAGAAACGAAATTCATCTAAACTGATCTTTTCAGTACTGAAAAAATAAATTCAAATGAATTTCGTTTCTAAATGCTTGACTCAAACATAACAGCATTTTGATGTTATGTTTGCATCAAACAACAGAATTTTGAAGCGGAGATTATCATTTTCTGAAGAAATTCATATTTTTGTCGATAATTAGTGATAATTAGTAATTGAAAGTTAGTAGCATGATGATGCTACTGGTAGTTTCATTGAATTTACAATTTTTTTAAAATTACAGAAATTTAGAAAATTTTTAAAAAATATCGAAATCTAAAAAATGTAATAGAAAGATAAAATCCGAGTCACATAAATGTAAAATTGAAATAGAAACAACTTTTACAAGTAAACTTTTTCGATATTCGAACAAATAAGCCTACTTTCAGCGATCAATTTGAAAAAATGTCACTTTTGACATGTAGCGAAAGTCACGTGACCCCGATTGAGTAGGCCATTTTTCATCCTTTTTGAAGCAAAACTTGACGCCCAACTCGAATTTCATTAATAAAAGTTTTTCCCATATGATGCTGACTTTATGAATGACACTGTATACAGGGTGGCATAGAAAGAAGTACATTGCATAGTGCCACACAATAAAGGATACTAAAATAAGAAAACATGTTCCTATGAAGATGGGTCCGCAAGGCCTTCGGTTCGATAATTTATTTATTGAACACCAGGTCTTCAACAGATTCAGATCATTTTGTAAGGAAATGGTATCTGATTAATCGTTAATCCTTCTGAAAATTTACATGTCGTCAGCAAATATGAGAGAATTAGACTCGAAATTGAAGCATACATCATTCACGAATAACAAAAATAATAAGGATCCCATATTTGAGCCTTGAGTTATGTTTAATCGTCTTCTAGTTTTCTCCGAACAACTCGACTACAATTTGAGATTTGACAACGTGGTTATGGCGGTAGCAACATCGAAAACCGTCGTCATTCAAATCGATATTGGGAAGTGGTTGAACGTGCAATTCTAATCAGGTCGTTGATGTTCAACAAAAAAACGTTATGAAGAATCTTCACCACAATTTCATGATCAATTGATCAATACGTCATCGCATTGAGAGAGCTGCAAAAGATAATTTAATCGGTGATATTTTGGAAACTTACCGAACCCGGAAAGATTTTGTGGTCATTATCTTGAATTTTTGCAGCAGTCACTTGACACTCCAACTCTGCAATTTTTCGTTTCTGTTCCCCGGAAATTCTTAGCAATCGATCTATTTCCATATTTAAATCATGCTCTGAAACAATATTGGAAAATTGCTAGAAATTTCTGAGCAATCGTTTTTTTTTTTGATAGTTTTGAAAATGCACAGCACTTCGGAAACACTGTGAAAAATTTTCGATCCAGATATTTGTAGATTGAAATTTATCGTCAAAGATTACTACAATTTCTGACACTGAGAAAGATTGCTCAAGTGTTCCATCTATATTCCTTGTGAAACACTCAGTATATTGAACAACAATACTCTGTGTCTCATGCTCGGGCAATAAATATTGGAAATCTGTTTATAAGAATCATCGATATCAGGAAACGCGTTTCAATTGAGAATTTTCATCCTATATTTCAATTAGAGGTGAATTTTCGAAAACGTCTGGAGTTAACAGTCTAATATAAATAATGGATATCGAGAAGGCCGTTTCTGAATATACTGAATCGAATGGGCCATGATTTTAGTCATCGTTTTTGATTTTTTTTACTGAAATGAGATTTTGTCCTATTTTCTTATTATCCTGTATATTCCACAATGGTGCTATTTCCGTCTCTCATCGTCCTCCACGAAACATGAGAACAGTTCTTTCCAATATTTAGCTCAAGTGGAGTTCTAGAGAAAAAATTCACGAAATGCAACTTCCGAAAAAAAATCTAATTTTTGTTTCGATGGCCAATTGAGGAGAAATCACGAAAACGTCCCGAGATGAGGTCCTAGTGTATCATAATATGACTGACTTTTGATCAGAAGAGGATTTCTCGGGTTCTGGCAGCATTGGAAATGTAGACCATAGTGTAATCGTTTCACTTTACACCCTGGGTAAGTTTTGTTCTGCGGAATTTTTCAGAGTATTCTAGCTCTCTTTGAAGCAGATGAAATATCACATTTGATATCGAAAACCTCATGAAGATCGGTAAATTTTTTCAAAAAATACAGGTCTTCGAAAAAGAGTCAAATTATGAGTGGTCCATTTAGTGTGTTGAGAACTTGTATATTAATTCACACTAGAGGACCCTTGAATCGGTGAACGTGACAACACGGCGCACGAATTGTGGGCGTGGTCTTGTCAGTTCTCAGCATTCAGCACAATCCTGCCAGGTCTCCAACAATTACATGATATCTTGTTATGGAGTATAAGAAAAATTTGGACATGCTGGTTGATCAAAAAAGTCAAGAATGTACTAATATCATGAGCTCCTCCTATTATCTTTTATTCAACGACAGGACTCATAACATCTTTTTGGTAACTTGAGAGATTGTGTAATTCTGCGGCCAAAGAAAGCAGTTTTTCAATACAAAAATGTCCTTTCCAATATACATGACAGCAACATATTTTACTCCCTCACCTATTATTGTGAAATTATTGAATCTATCCGTCAGTCGCTTTTTTTCATCAGCCTCACTTTCGATCAAGGTTTGCAATTTTTTCTTTTCCAATCTGACAGCGTCCAATTCAGCAGAAAGCTCTTTTTTGTCAAGTGTCAATTTAACATTTTCCCTCTCCAAATTTTGCATTTTTATAACAGATTCATTCAATTTGTCTTGTAACCTGAAAAACAAAATATTGAAAATTAGTGTTATTATTCTGAAGAACCTTTGATATAAGAACAAATAGTAACCTCCCCTCATCAAATGATTTTACTTTCTATGGATATGACATTATTTTATGTTCAATGAATATAATCAGATTGTTTTATTAGGATCAAAAGTGACACTTTGTTTGACAAGCAAATTTTGCATTTGCGAGGCGGAGCGTTTAGTGTGTGGTGAGAATATTCTACCTGCATCAATAGCAGGTTTATTCAATTTTCAAGGATATAAATACAACGACAGAGTGACATATTTGTGTATGGCCCAGGTGCTCTTATGGCAAATACCGCGCCAGTGCCAGCTATAGGAACAGTCATCTTCAGAAAACATGTCGCACATGGACGGTGATAGCATTCTTAATAACTCATGCAATAAGAGCGCTGACACCGTCCAACCGCGACATGATCTCTGAAGACGACTGAACAAGACTTGGAAAATGTTAGGTTAGTGAGCATATCAACAATAATATCAGCGATTATTTGTTCCTCTCCATACTACACTGTATTTGACTTGGTAATCAACTGAAGGTAAACAATATCGTTGTTGGCTTGCCGTGATTATTCGAAAACAAGTTATCCATCCCGATAATCACACATGAAATACAGATCAAGCAAGTATTTGAATCTTGAAGGATTCCCTGATCAAAAAAAAATACTTAACTGAGATGTTTATAATTCCTATACTCAACTATAATAAGGTGTATTTATATCTCCAGCATGGGTATGAAATGCCAAATCTGCCGAAATCGGAAACAAATCAGGTATGCGTCTCAACCCAAATAACCAACCCTAACAATGTTGTTTATTCTTGATGACGTCCAGTACATCCTTTTTAGTTCCTAGGAGCTAAAGTTCAAATTTAGCTCATAGGAACTAAATATGTTGCCTAGCAACATACCAATTCTTGTGTCAGTAATAGAAACGTCAATTTAAGAGCTAATTTTGTTATCAAAACGGAGAACTTTTGTGTCGGTTGCAGAAAAAATAGTGTTTGAAGTTATTCCGTTTTGAATTTTCACCTTGTTACTTTTTCAGCATTATCCTTCACTGTATCATTACATTCCGCTTCTACTGCCAGAGCAATCTGATCGATATCTTTCATCTCATTTTCCAACTGCTTATTCCTTTCTGCCAAATGTATGGCTCTCCTCATTGCTTCATGTTGTTTTGCAGTGGCCTCTAAAAAATCATCCAGTATAGGCACCAGGGTTGGACCAATAAGTCATGACTTTTATAAAAAAGTCAAAAAAGTACGACTTGAATGAATTCGAACTTTTTTGAATTAATTCATCTGAGAACAAATCAAATTCTATTTACTTGAACAAAATACCAGAACACCGAAAAAATCTAAGTTTTTATTTCCGTTAAAAATTTCAAAGCATAACAATAAAATACTTAAAATATGCAATTTTGCAATACAAACTGAGACTATTGATTGAATGAAAAATTATGTTTATGCAACTTATATTACTCATTCGCAATCTCCATTTAAAAGGCGCTTTACAGTTATTTTCAAAAAGAATTCAGCTATTCCCATGGCGCGCCTATGGATTAGCATCACGTTGTAAAGCAATTTTTCGTTGCATTGCAAGAAATGAGTCCGGTAATTTGTATTACTGGTGCTATTCTAATGGTGACATGTTAGATTTTCGGAATTTCATGCATTATTAGATGCACATTGGATTTTACTTTTCTTGCCTTTCTCATGGTTTCTTCTACTCAACTCTTGACCCAACTCAAAAGTCAGTCAAAACTCGGTGAGAAGTAATACACAGAATCTATGACAAAAAGATATTGCAAGCCGGTAATTCGCGAAAATCACGAAGTGGGTGGCCTCTGGTGTTTGATTTTGGAAATAAAATAGAGGTGAACACTTAGATCATCTGTAGGATCTAAGCGTTGATCTAAGGGTGAACAACAATCCATTTTAGCATTGTCACCACTTGTCACTATTGTCAGCATTATGATTCAATACTTTTATAGTTAAAAGTAGACTATTTTCAATGATTTTCGTGTTTATTTTGTATAGGTATATGGGATAGGTAGATATTTTCAACCTTTCAACATGCAGCAAATACATAAAACCAAAAATACGAAATCGAGAAAGTGTTGTTCAGTTCCGCAGTGTTCTTCATATTGTACAGACAGTGTTTCTTTACACAAATTTCCACTTTGGAACCCCAAATTGTGTAAAAGATGAAGGAATTTGTTGAAGATTGGTAAACCAATAACCAATAATATGTACGTTTGTAGTGAGCACTTCTTACCTGATGAAAATTGCAATTACCTGTTTATACAAATGAGTGTTCCAATAATATGTTTGCAGTAACCAGACAAACCTGCTTTGCAAGTACATTTGCATTCGAAAATGTTTTTTTCATTTGGGATGATACTTATTTCATGAGGAGACTCTGCTAATGCAGATGATTGTAAACACAAGCTTTTGATCACATGCGTTTGTTCTGCATCCACCCCACACAATATAATGTGACCTGCTCTAAAAACTGCTTCTCCTTCTTTCAAGGGTCTCACCCTATCGCCAATATATTCTAATATATCCGCGATGGACACTTCAACTTTAGGCATTTTTCTGAAATATTATGTGACAACTAAGTGATAACAGTTTGTTGTTCACCTCTATTTCAAATTTGACGTTGGACAGGCGCCATCTTTTGGTTCGTGATTTTCGCGAATTCCGATTTCCGATTCAGTGTTGAATAGCCTCCATATCATTTTTGCCGGACATATGAATGGGCTTATATCACAAAAATTTGTATTTCATAATTCGATAGAACTCACCCAAACTAGCTCACCACCGCAAACCGTTTCTTGCTGTGAGCTCCCTACGTTTTATAAAAAATTATTGAAATTCCCGATTTTTCGGACCTCTGAGAACGAGGCGATGATGTGACGTCAAAACCCTAATACTGAAACAAGACTATTCCAGACAGAGATGAATGATACATGATTTCTGACAGAGTGAATTAGCGCGAGATCACACTTGAAAGAATTAATATATCAGTTGCCTCAGTCTCCCTCGAGCGTTTGGTATTTTCTTTTAACTATGGCGAGATGAGGTTTCTACGTCATAAGAGGGTCCGTTTTCAGAAAGTAATTATTTATGTCCAAAAATAAAACATTCCAGTTAATTTTTCGATCGAATTATGTCGTCAATCATTATTTATGTATAAAAGGATCATTATAAACATGGTTTGAGTTAAAAGTTCTACTAAGGTGTACATGCCCATTGGAGCAATCAATTGCATGCAACGAAATATTGTAAACTGTAAAGCGGCTCTTAGAAAATCTAGTTTTCTGCGTGTGGGTGCATCCCGGCTGTCAGTTGTCAGATGCCATCGGTTATTCAATTTTAAACTAGTTCAAATTGAAGGTAATAATGAGATTTGATCCCATTTGATAAATATTGAATTAATTCACGACTTATTTAAAAAAAGTCATTTGAATTAACTCACAAATTAAATCAATGACTTAATTCATATGAATTAATTCGTGCCAGCCCTGATAGACATTACGATTATCATTATCAACTAACTAACTAACTAACTAACAGGAACATTGATATATTATTTAATCAAAAACGTGTTTTTCGGCAACCGACGATTTTTCCTTGAGAAAGTAGTATTTTTCCGATCTAGTCCGGGAAGTAAATCACATCGTTGTGGTCACTACAGTGGCTTAACTACTATACCGCCAAACCCCGCGGTAGTGGGGGGCCTGTTTCTCGGAGGGGGCCCTGGGTCCACCAACCAGAGCAAGGACTCAGCCAAATTGGTTGATACATGAATATTTTTCAATTATGAATATGCCACAGAAATAATTTTTCCATTTCTGCGAATAGCGCAGGCATGTTTTTGATGCAAGCCAATTATTTTAAATGGAGAACTTGATTAAAACTAGTGGTGCTTCAAAAAGAAGAAGGAAACAAACGTTAGAAGATGAGAAGTGTAACATTTTCAAGATTACCACGTTCTTTACGAATACTAATACTGTTTCGGATAATACAGTTGAATATTATGATGAATGTCCATCAAGTAGTAGCAGTATTATGATTGAAACAGAAATGGATGTTGACTCTGCAATTATTATGGAAGAAAAACTATTATTCCAGATTTTTTGGGATTTTCTCTCCTCGTTTCTATAAAATAAAAATATGAATATTTTTTCAATATACATGTAGTAAGGACAAATCAGATGATTTGCCCCAAAAAGTCACTGTGTTTGAAGAATTTTCCTGTCAGAGAGCCTAAAAGCAAAATTCACTAGCTCAGTGACTAAGTCTGAACTCCTATCTAATACCATCCAGTGACTCTAATTGATGAAAGGTACAGATTATTTTCAAAATGTCAATGTCAAACTAACCAAAATTCATTGTAACATTTCTCATTAAAGAACTCTCATACCATGATCTCCAGTACATTGAATATAAAAAACCAAACCAAAGTGATTTTCATCATAATAGTGGCCATTTTAGTTCTAAGCTTTGATGATTCCCCATCAAACCTAACTGCAGACCTAGATGAACTGTGGAGATTCAATTTAGATGAAGCTATCAGGAAAAACAATACTGAACTGATCTTCAAATACATTCTAACAGCTGTGATACTAGTAAGAACAATGTCTAGCCGCATATTTTTGGGACTTTATATTATTTTGCTGTGGCCAACGATTTTGGAAAGAAAGGCTTACATTATAGTGCCCTGGTTGATTTTGAGTTTCATCAGATCTATCCTGATTAATTCTATAGCATTTTCAACTGGTGCATATATTTGTCTAATTCAAAAAGGCTGTGATATGATATGCTTAGAATTTTGTATGGCCCAAATCATAGAACATGGACCTTCCATTTATGCACATTTTGCAATATACCAGTTTTACAAAAACCTCAGTTTGAATGAGAAAAAAATATATTCAAACAAGGAAATTAGATCAAATAAGTATCTTTACTTCACACAAGTGAATCTCAACAAAACAGTAGATGATGATAGAAACTTCATTACAGAATCAACTATTACAAATTTGATCAACCATTTAGAGATTTTGAGACCCACTTTGGTACCCTCCAGATCTTTGGATTCCCTGTTGGACCTTGAATCTTCTAAAATATTGGGAAATGAGGATGCAAAATTGGATAGTATGCCAGATTATGTCAAGAAAATACTCAAAGTAGGAGATGCAGATATATCCAGAGCTAAACTGGAAAAATCTAGTAGAGTTCTACCAAAATTTAGCTCTGGAATGATACTAGCCAAACAAGTGACTAGTAAAGAACATAAAAAAAATCATATAGATCTTCAAGAAGTTGAGCTGCACTGTGTTTCACTAAATGATTCTCTAAATTCAGAATATATAAAAAAGGACAATGAAAGAACTACCACAGATATAAATGACATCATGGTGTCAGGAAAAAACAAGTCAGCATTAAAACTATAGGAATTATTTGATCATGAATCAATTTTACCTTTTAATTGATTCTGCAATAGGTTTTTCTGCCTCTTCAAGCTATTTATTTCATCTTGGAGGGAGCCAATTTTGTTGTCAATATTTTTGTAACAACAGTCTTTACTCAACACTTTTGTGGTTCTACCACCTTCCAATAATTTATTCAATCTATCTATTTCTTCATCACGTGTATGTAGCTAATAAAATAATGAGAAGATTGATCAAATATCTAGTACAATAAATTATTCAACTTCAGTATAGGTACCTACCTGTGTCTTAAAGAAGTCCTTATCCTTAACATATTGAAACTGTTCCTCTTTCAATTTTTGTATTTCTTTACTGAGACTGGCAATTTTTTTATCAGCTATTGCCATTGCACTATTTAGTTGGAAATTGTCATTCTTACTGGTACTTTTAGTTCTGGAAGACATTGGTTGCTTATGAGTAATTAGTTGTAAGTCTTTCACCTTCTGAGCTAGCTTCTGTTTTTCAATGCTACAATCTGTGAGCTGATTTTCCAGTAATAAAACTTGTGTTTTCAAATCTGAAGTAAGAGTAGATTGGAAAAGTATTGAGGAATATACTTGGGAATAGAGGAATACTCACCCTTTTGGGTCTTTTCATGTTGTTCCTTGAAATGAATGAAAGCTAAATGTAATTCATTACATTCCCTAATGAGTTTAGCATTATCACACTTGTATGGTTCTGCTCCCAACAACAAATTGTCTCTCTCCTAGAAGAAATGAAAATTACTGTCATTCTCCTCTCAAAACTTTCAAAATTGAAATATTAAAACTGTCAGAAATGGCACCTTCAGAAGGAAAGTGTAAATTTGTGATTGAAGTTGAAGTCTTCATTTGTTCAGAATCCAGATGTTTATTTTTATATTACCTCCAAAGCCTGCTGAGATACAGTCATATATTTCTTCAAATTTTCAGTAGTGACTTTCAAATCTGAAAGGAGTCTTTGAACTAAAGGTAAACTCTCGATTTTCAAAGTTTCTGTATATCCCAAAGTATCCAGTTCTTGTCGTAGTTTTGCAAAGCTTTCCATTTTTCTTCAACATACACCAAATAAATTGTACAAACAAAAATCATGACCCCTTGAAAAATGCCTTTAGGATTTTGTAAACGTTTTCAATTATAGGTTCACACATGATAATTTCTTTGGATGTCTACCAAAGACGTGAAATGTGAATACAAACAAATCATTTCAGAATTGGAATGCCTTAATTTTGTGGACATTATAACAATCAATTTCCAAGTAAACGTGAATTGAGTATAATCACAGTTTATTAATAATCTACTTTTTAAAAGATTCTCGGTACTCTTCATCAAAATCAACATTCACCAAAAACAAATGTTGAATTTCAAAATTTCAAGGATTTTTTTTTCTTAATTTCCCATGTCCACAGATGTGACACTTGACAGATCAGTTACCATAACCGTAACCCAAGGATACCAACCATACCATATGACATTGACACTCGTTAAGAAGAAGACGAAGTTGATTTGACATTGACAACTGACTGTCTGGCCTGAGGAGCATCTCTAATCTAATCTCTATAAAAAGTAGGAAATTCTCAGAGGAATAAAGAGAGGAAATTGGAAAGGTGGAGAAAAGAACAAGAAAAGTTCATTTCAATCTTCCCACCAATATGGAAATAAACCTGCATATTTTTTCCTTCATTTATTAAAAATTATAAGATAAAAATGAGTGATCACAACATTTTGTGGGTGCCCTGTATTTTTTCTTATTAAATAACAAGTCAGTTTTGCCTACAGTTACAAAGCTTTCATTAATGGAACCTTTGGAAGCTACACAATTTTCTAATATAATCGTTCTTACTCTACATTCATGTTTAGGTATATCAAAAACTTCATCAACAAAACTTTCTGCATGAGGAAGGTTCACCCAACAGTCTAATTTCCTTCTGGTTTTGATGAGTTGTGTCTTCATGCCAATGAAGTTCACTTCAAGCTTTTCTTTATCTTAAAATAACAAATCATAAATACAAAGGAAAGTATACCATGATGTCTTATTTAATTCTTCAAGTTTTTTACAGAAAGTTATTTTTCTTCAAATGACATTACAAATGGCTTTTTAATGACACAACAGAAAAAGATGGTACTTTTACTGCCTAGGCAGAAAAAGTTTGTTGCTATGCAACATATCAATAGTAATAATGATGGTCGTTTTACTAGGCAGAAAAGCACAAAATTAAACTTTTCAGGCTAGGAAACCAGCCAAGGCATTGAGTCTTCTATTCTGACATGTAAAACATATTTGTATTTTTTCCAAATTCGTTTCAGTTTCATGCAAAGCCAAAATAATCCATCATTTTGTTTTTACCCCAAGTCATTGTCAATTTTGATTACATACCAAATGTTGCATAGCAAAAAACTTTTTCTGTCTAGCTAGGCCATAAAAGAACACTTTTTCTGTCTGCTTTGTGTCATTAAAAAGCCACTTTTAATGTCATTTGGAGAAAATATTTACTCAATAAAAAAAATACACAAATTGGTTTCAAAATATTTGTTTCACAAAGCAGAAAATGTAGATAATGCCATGGCTGGCGTTTCATAGCCAAGGCATTAAATCTTATCTTTTCTGCCATGTGAAACATAATTTTTTCTCCAAATTCGGTTCAATCTCACACAAAGTCCAAATAACATTTTGTGTTCACCCAAAGTCACTGTAGATTTTGATTGTCAATTTGATTCTAATTATTACTTGGAATGTTGCATAGCAACTAACTTTTTCTGCCTAGGCAGTACTTTCTCTGCCTAAACAGTAAAATCACACTTTTTCTGCCTATCAATTAATCAATATTTTTTTCATCATTTTGAGAAAGCCTTCATTATAAAATACTTGAAAAAAAAGTATAGACATTGAGGCAATAAAATTATATTATTTCTTACCAATTTTGGAGTAGATGGGTTTCCAAAACATCACAAGAGAATTTCCAACTGCCTCATCAAAATGCTTGTGAATATAGTTGTCATTGTAATCTGCTTTACACAACAGACCATAAATAGCCTGAAAATACAAAATACATTTACTACAGGAAATTGTTGAAACAACATAATATTCAGATATATTGTGAACATTTTCAATCATCACTCACCAAAGTAACATAAACCAGATCTGGATCATATTTTTCAACAACCGCCTCTAAAAAATACTTGATATTAGGTAGAAACACCTCCCTGACTGCATCAATTCCAAGATAATATATTGTAGTCAGTATGGCCAACATCCTCTCTCCTTCAATCCCCCTCAATTTTTGACTGATTTTAGCAATGGCCATGTGCCTCAAGGGGGCCCTCAGACAGATAACTGCCAAAACTGAACACATGTTCTTCAATACATCCTTTGATGTGTGAAACAACAATAATCTAGTTAGAAAACATGAAATCAGTAAACAGATGAGGAAAATTAGAAGATCAAGTTACCTTTGCAGCAGTAGCCTCACCAGCAATTTTATCTGAACCTCAGACACATTGGAGAATCCCAATGGACTATTCTCTAGTGTTTCCACCAAGTCCAAAGCATAATCTGTCAGGCAATCATAAGTAACATTTTTGATGAGCAGAAAATAGGCAAAGTGGTAGAACCATTCTATTATGGGCCCTATTCTTGGATTTTCACTAATATCTCTCAATGCCATTTGTCTTAGTTCTACATCCTCACTTATCACAGTATGACAAATGGTGGTGAAGTAGTTTTTGAGTAGCTGGCTGGGTTGCAATAGTTCTGGGTCAGGCAGCCATTTTTTTGTCAAGGAAATGGATTTATGCTGACAATAAGCACTTTCATTTTCTGCTATTTCTATGAGATTCACTTTGGTGTCCTAAAACATAGAATGTTGAAACAGAAGTGCTACTTGAAGGTTCTATACATTCAAAAATCATGTACTTGCATTTAGATATAAGAAACTTTGATCACCAAAATCACCAGAATGCACCCAGTTTGGAGCATTAGGAGCTCCATAAACTTTCTCAATGGACAAATTTTTGAATGTTTCCTCTATATCTGTTGATGAAATGGCATCTCTTCCACAAAGCCTTGCCTTTGTCAAAGCATCCTTGAAAATAGTGATTTCTACAATAATTTTTGTGAATTCCCAGGGAACTTACATGTATTATGTAGCGCAGTTTGTAGTTGATATCCTCTGCAAGAGTATCACAAACTTCATCAGATAAGTGTTCATATGAGGACTGTTCAGCATAAGTGAAAATTGATTCTGAACTGATTCCTGCATATTGTTTGGCGTCCTGAAACATTGGATATCAATAGTCTACTCTGGCAAGTCCGTTTTTATCCAGGTTTCTATACATTACTTTGGTGGGAGAGTTCTTATCATTAGAATTGTTTTCTGACGAGCCAGTCTGGGATTTCCTCTTCTCTCTGTCCTTCGAATTCTTTCGTAATCTCTGAGTGTTGTTGGAAGATACCAACTTGTCTACTTGTGTGGATTTCATTATTTATATTATTCATTATTCCATTATAAACTTAACCTCAAAAAAGGTTTCCGGAGCTGTTCGTCAACGTCAGTCATACGTCAAACGAGAGAAAAACAGCACAGAACATATGAGATCACAGAACTGATATGACTGTGGATGATTCGTTGTCATTAGTCGATAGTGTCGATTCTTAATATTATTCTGTTGGTACTTTTGGCAGTGTTGCTCTATCTAGCTTTTTCGTGAGTTTGGTTTTGTGTATAAATAAAAAAAGTATAATAATATCTCAGTTATTTGTACATATTTACATTATTTTTTATCAATTCAGAAGTAGATGAAGGTAAGATACTAATCCAGTGCTAAGAAACTCTTTGAATAGTATCAAATACAGTATTCAGATTGGCACCCATAACACCATAATAAGAATCCATTCTTGTCCACTTTCTTCTGTACTACCTAAATTGCATTATATGAGATCAATCCTTGGACAATTCGAAAAGTGATTCTTCATTGAGGACACTGAATTGATGCAATGATGTTATTATTGAAATTCTGTTCCACGCATCACTGTGTGATGAGGGTCATATGAAGTTCTTTGAACTCTCCTGGAATAAATAAAGGCTCTTTCAAAATTCTTCACCAATCATCTGGTACAGACCATCAGTACCTGCTAATGTCTATTTCACAAGGCAAAAGTGTGTTGCAATGCTATATTTGTTAACTTATAGAGGTTTTCATAGCAGTTCTGATCATGGCCTGGTTAAACAATATAACAAACCTAAAAAAAATCAAAACAACTGAACAAAGAATAACAGGTTCTCAAAACATTTGTTTGTTGATTATATGTGTCAAATTGAGTTTGAAGGTTGTGAAGAATATCTCTCACTACAATGTGGTCTTTTCAGGATATATTATGCCACGCAAAGACAAGTATGAAAGCAACAGTGCAAATCGTCGGACGCATACCTACATGTCTCCAGAAGACCAGGTTAGTGGCAAGAAGTCTTACTGGACAGAGCTGGAGATAACAGGGACTATACGAAATTTGAGTCCAAACATTTTTCAAATGAGCCATCTGACAGCTCTGTACATAAAAAATAATCAGCTTCACAGACTACCACCAGAGATATGCCAATTAGTGAATTTGAGAAACTTGGATTTGAGTAATAATAAACTTAGGTCCCTGCCAGCTGAACTGGGTGACCTCATTCATTTGAGGTAAGTCTGATTTCTTTTATATCTAAATCATCATCAAGATTTGGCATGTTTTCTTTTTATTCCAGAGAGTTGAATTTGGCGAACAACTCTTTGAGAATTCTTCCTTATGAACTGGGCAAGCTGTTCAATCTGATGATGCTGACCCTAAATGGTAATCCCTTGAACAAAGACATCATGACCATCTACTCTGAACCTAATGGTACAACCAAGCTGCTCACTTTCATGTTGGATAATTTGCAAGGTAAGTGGATTTCTTGCATGATTTTGTATAGCACAGCAGAAGAGAAACATTGATAATGTGATGGAAATATCCATTGTATGTTCATGGTTTTGGGGATATAATTGAGAATATTAATGAAAATTTACCATGTGCATTTCTTTACCAACAGTTGAATTATGTTTTTTCCAATTAAGAGTGGAATGTATATTTTCCAGTAAATAGGCATAAATAGGCAGTAAATCAGCACTTTTTCTGCCTAGGAACTAAAATAAAATTATATATGGTGTGGTGGTGTTATAAGATTACTCAAAAATGAAACAAATTTTTTCATCAACTGTGGAAATGATGAAAAATCTGTAGTTTGCCTGTGATCCATGACTGGATACCTAATAACTCTGATAATATTGAAATTTCAGCTTTAGATCTGAGGGAGGAGAAAACATTTTTTTCAATTTTCACAACTAAATCACAAAAAATTGTGGAAAAAGTGGTTTAATGATCACTAAATTTTCCTTTTGATGTACAGACCCCTAAAAATTATGAAAACAGTTAGTTCATAGTTTCTTCAGCATTTTAAATAAACCAGATTCATTTTGAATTTTAGTCAATAAATCAGACATGTTTACATTGCATAACCTTGAATTAATGTTGTGCTCAACTTGGGCATAATATTGTTGATTTATTTATTGCCTGATTAATAATTATGTAATTTGTTCACACTGCATTTTTAATGAGCTTACTAATGGTTTATAACAGTGGAACATTGTCTTCAGAGGCTCACCCTATACTTGAGGACCACAAATTGTTACAGTGTGCCATTTTAACTAAAAAAAAAAAGATACATATACTTGAGATAGTTACCATTTCACCGATTTTATCTGCTAAGTATCATTATTTTTTCAACATTGTTTATAGTTCAGTGTTTTTAGTAGGTCACTGGTATGTAATGAAAGAGATGCAAATTGGAAGGTAAAGTTGACCTCAATAAACCTACCTACTAGCTTCTTTATAAGGTGCCGTCCGTTTTTATTTTGTTTTTGTAAATATAAAAAGCAATAGGAACATGGGATGAGTAATGGTTCATTTTAGAGGAGACTATAGTTTTTTATTCTTCAAATTTTTTAGGCAGTTGGTATAATTAATTGAAGGAAACTATATTCTCAGTCAATTGATAACTGCTCTTTGGAGGTTAATCTAGAAAAAAATTGAAAAAATGGGTGAGTGGCTTGCTGAAAAAAAATTGTTGATTGAATTGTGACAAAAGTAGGTATTTAAACTGGAAAACAAAGGACCAATAGAACATTATCATAATGAAAAAAGTTGAGAAAAGAGGAATGGGAAATCCAGAGAAATATTGAGAAAATAGACAGGCTGATGACATGTGAAGGATTTGGTAATGAAGTAAATCCATTCTCACACAAAAATATGGAAAGTCAATGGGCTATGAATGAAGTTTATGTGAAATTGAAGTAGCTAGACAGGAAATGAACATGAACTATTCCAGCTGACAAGAAAAGGTTGAAAATAAATGGGTATTACATTGAAAACAACAGAAATTAATGAGTAATAGAAGAAATTGATGGCAAATGCAGAATTCCAATGAATAATGAATGAAAGTGAAATATTATAGTGAATAAACCAAAATAGGTGACCTATATTGGCCCCTTCTTGATGTGTATATTTCTTGTATATTGTTGGTATTAGAATAAGATTTTACAACCACTGTAAATTGCACAAAAAAAAAATTCTTTACAATTGTGACTATAATAACCCATCAAATATTCTGAAAATTGGCATTCTATCTTTTCTTCAAAGTAGTTAATTTATTTCTTGCTTCAAAAATTATTTAATCTCAGTTTTGGGGGAGTTGGAGTATGGTCTACACAGTGGTTGTAACTTGGAGCGGGATCATTGTAGGGCACATGTTCATTAAAAAAATCTTATTTTGATCCCAACAATACATCCTCAAAATATCTACATCACATTTTGAATCACCTTGTATATTCTTCAACAATTAAATTGTCGAAGAGGAAAATGAATGTAAAATTTGAATAGGATGAAACATGAAGATAAGTAGCGATTAGAGTAATAAATGGTAGTTTGGAAAAACTAAAGAAACACCCTTTTATAGATAGCCAAACTAAAAAGAAGTAGAAAATACAATAATAAAAGTGTGATGCTAAATACACAACATAGACAATATTAGCATCTCCATAATCAGAACATTCTATGTAGTGTATTCATCAACACTTTTATTATTTAGTTACTCCATTTTAGTTTGGTTATCTATAAAAGGGTGTTTCTTTAGTTTTTCAACCTACTATTTATTTTCAATTTTTTAGTTCGGCTAACTACAAAAGCGTGTTTTACAGTGTTCTTATATTTTTTGTAAGTACCCAATTTTGACAAAAGAATCATAATCCCCGTCCTCGTTAACCGCCAGATACCAACTTTTAATGGACTTAGATCATATAATTACAAAACTCTACCACCATATTGGATCCGCCATCTTGAATTTTCCCATTTTGATGAAAGAATCACAATCCTCGACCTCGTTAACCGCCAGATACCTACTTTTAATGGAATTAGATCATATAATTACAAAACTCTACCACCATATTGGATCCGCCATCTTGAATTTTCCCATTTTGACGAAAAATCTGCTGAGATGAAATTTTTAAAACTACAATTTAATTAACTTTTCTATCGATACTTTCACGGGAAATGTTCTTCGGAAATCTCTGCTATCATCCCTTCACTGGCAATACCAATCAGACGAACTAGACAAGCCCAGTCAGCACATCCTTTCGTTGTCAACCTCGAAAGATGTCGAACAGCACTTTATCAAGACTCCTTCATCCATAGAACGGCTAGGCTCTGGAATTCATTGCCTGTGGAAGTATTCCCAACAACATATAATCTCCAAAAGTTCAAAAAAAATTCCAATACCTACCTCCTGTCCCTATCCTCCCTAGGAACGCACGATGTTCTTTGAACATCATAGGGATTCCCTTTCGTGCGCTTCAAGCGATAAAAAAAAAATTGATCATCGCGACAAGCTTTTATGATATAAATTGTGTATAATGAGGTTATAAGTTGATAGTTAGAATTATTAAGAAAAATTTCATTTTCTTCTTTTTATAGCGTTTAAATAAAAGCTTTTTATTAATAAGTTTTTTTTTACTATTAATTAATTTTTTTAATTTTTAGTTATCGCTAGTTGGATTTTTCGATCTACTCTTAAAGAGCCTTTTCATTTGATACCCATATTGTAGAAGTATATTGAAAATTACCATTCGCCATCTTGGATGGTCCGCCATAATGGATTCAGAATGACGTCAGATCATTTTTCGAGTTACTCTCAACGAGCCTTTTCATTTGATACCCATATTGTAGGAGTATATTAAAAATAGCTATTCCGCCATCTTGGATGGTCCGCCATATCGGATTTAGAATAACGTCACATTATTTTTCGAATTACTCTCAACGAGCCCTTTCATTTGAAACCCATATTGTAGAAGTAGATTGAAAATGACCATTCCGCCATCTTGGATGGCCCGCCATATTCGATTTAGAATGACGTCACATCATTTTTCGAGTTACTCTCAACGAGCCTTTTCATTTGATACCCATATTGTAAAAGTATATCAAAAATAGCTATTCCGCCATCTTGGATAGTCCGCCTTATTGGATTTAGAATAACGTGACATACCTTATCGTGCATCGTCATCCAAACTGAACGTGTATACAAAATTTCAACTCAATCGGTTGAAGATTTCTACTTCAAAATTGAGTTATGAAAGTGCGTTTTTCTCTCTTTCATGGGCAGTTGCGATTTGGTAAAATCTAAAATGTTCAACCTCGAATATGTCGAAAACGGCTGAACCAAATATCAATGACCAATATATTTTTGGAATCAGGAAGAAAAGATCTTGAATTTTTTCGAAGAATACATAGGGTGTTCCATTGAAAATAACGAAGTTGGTACCCATTTATTATATCAGCAATATTCATTTGTTTCATCTGGTATAATTTCCTGGAGGTTTAGAACAAACCCTACAACTTTTGCATTCGAAGTTTTTCTCTATCTTCAATGCTGAACTCTGTAGAAGCTGTTTAAATATACGGAATGACCCTGTACATACAGAAAAGGGTGTTGAAATAAAAAGGTACAGGGTGATTCACCATAAATGCTCCCACCTCTAGCTCAGTTATTTTTGAACCGATTTTAAAATTTGAAATATCATCTTGAATGATTTTCGATAAAGTTTTTTTCTCCTACATCAGAAATTACAGGGTGCTCGGAACAAACGATCTACAGGGTACTATTTGATTTTTTTAAATGAAACACCCTATTTTTCATTGTATTTTCAGATTCTCCCTGAAGAGCTGATTTGATCAATGCATCACACTTGGGGTCTAGCGGGACTGATTACAGAGATATAGGGTGTTCAAAATCGAGATTTTTAACTTTAGGATTTTTTTGTGACGAAACTATTCATTATCGGTCACGCGGTTTTCATGTCCGTATCTTAACTTTTGATTTACTATCTACTGACATTTAATAATTGGAACAGATACAGGGTGACCAGAATTCTGAATCTTGAACCACCCTGTAAATGTTCCAATTAAATTTCACTAGATAGTAAATTAGTAAATCAAAAGTTGAGATGGGAACATAGAAGCCGTTTTGACCAATAATGAATAGTTTCGGCACAAAAAAAATCCTAAAGTTGGAAAATCTAGATTTTAAACACCCTATATCTCTGTAATCATTCCCGCTAAACCCCAAGTGTGATACATTGATGAAATCAGCTCTTCAGGAAGAATCTAAAAATACGATAAAATACAGGGTGTTCCATTTTGAAAAATCAATTAGTACTCTGTAGATCGTTTGGTCCGAGCACCCTGTATTTTCTGATGCAACGGGAAAAAAATTTCTGAAAAATCATTTTAGATTATCTTTCAAATTTTTAAAACGGTTCAAAAATAAGTGAGCTAGAGGGGGGGACATTTATGGTGAATCACCCTGTACATAATCCATGAGTCAGAACTCTGCTTTGTAACTTGGAATTCTATTTTGCAAAATCAATATTACTATGACTTGCAGTCTCAGAATTCACACATACCAATTACCAATATTTGTTTGGTCTAAAGTGCTTGCTACGCTACTGCTCTGAATATTTCCTACTGAAATCGATAGACAATAATTGTTGTCAGACAATAAATTCTAGCTGTCGCTAAACATATGGAAAAATAGATTCGATGCCGTTATTGGTAATTGATGATAATCGATCCGATAAATAAATGATGGTCTAGTTCTTTCGAAGAGTACGGTGGATGCTTCTTCCACTTCGAGAGTACAAAGACCCAGGAACGGACGGTAGACGGAATTCCTCATATTTCTTGTTAAACGTCAACTCCACTCGGCTGCCTCGAAAGAAATTAACTTATATATTATACTCGCATCCTTAAATGTTACATGCTTACATGACG